AGGACATGATGTAGTATATCTGATGGATATATCAGCTCGGGTTATTAGCACTCAGGGATGACGCAGATCAGCCACGGTGGCGCCGGGCGTTTCAGACAGAGTGATGGGTTTGTATCTGATGCTGCCTGCTTGCTGTACTGTACAGTAGTGTACAGGACAAGAAGAATTGCACGATTATGCGAGGACGGCGGGAACATATTGCTGTACGGAGCTACTGGGGATCTCCTGGGGGTTCGCTTGGAGGAGAATTATCACGCGTAGGCGCGTGGATAGCGTGCTCGCAAAGCATCACTGGGGGCTATCTGACGCTGGCGTTCATCGCCCCCATCTGCCTTCCTGCCTGTCTGCCTGCCCGCCAGCTGCAAAGTTCCGCCATGCAGGTTCCCGCGCCATGTCATCGTGGGGTCCGGCCCTTGGGGGCGACTGGGCGGGCCCAGCCCAGCCAAGACGACAGTTCGAGGCACCACCTCGTCTCGCCTGGCTCGCGCCGGGTCGCTGCACGGATTGGGGTGCGGGTTGGGGGCCAGCCGGGCGGGCGGCAGCGACGACGACGACGACGACGACTTCTGCCACTGGCGGCACGTTTCAAAAGGGGTTCAAAAGTCAATGCCGGGGGGGGGCTTGCTGTCAGGGACGACGCCACGAGCATGTTCAGGTGTGGCGGACGGCTTAGCACTGCACATGATGCATGGCTGCTCGTCGGTTGCTGGGCTGGGACCCCGGAAGCCCATGCCCAGCAACCAGCGCCAGCACCAGCAACTGGCAGCTTTGTGGAGATGCGGTCGATGATGAGGTTCGTTGACGCGAGCGAGCTGCAGGCGCGCTAGCCGGGTAGCTCACGACGCTAACTGCTTGGTTACTTGGTTAGTCAAGTGAGCTGCGCTGGCTCGATGTTGAGAATCGGCCGACCGGGCCAAGAGACGTGATGTGATGATGGGGCGACGCACCGAGGGGGCGCTAGCTCAGGGGCTGCAGCGGGAAGAGCTCTGGTGGAGCGCAATACGTATGTCCGTGGGTGGGATGGCGATGCTCCGGAGCTTTTTTTTTTTTTGTGGCCTCGCGTTGACTATTATGTGCTCGTACTCCCGCTGGAGCTCTGTTCGAGCTCAACGAACGAGGGGATGGAACGGGAAAGGGGGAAAACGTCGGTCGCCTCATCAAGCTCGTCAGGCCCTTGACCATGTTGAAGAGGAGATGAGCACTGACGTGTAGTTCGCGTGGCGTCCGCAGGCAGTGAAGAGCACGTCGAGACCGCCGCCACAGCGCACAGCTCGCCCCATCTCCCATCTCCATCTCCATCGTCCATCTTCATCACCCGCTGCGTACGTACTACCACTTGCGGGGACGGGGGATGCTTGCCAGTGCATCGTCATGCCATTTGTAGAAAGTCCCATGCGAGGCCCCCCGGAACGTCTCCTCCGTAGTCGTACCCGCTCCTGCTCTGTCTGCGTGAAGCTCTCTCTCTCTCCACCGGGGGGAGCAGGAGACCGGGGGGGGGAACATGCTCTTCCTCATCAACGCGACACTTGCCATCGGATGTGGTGGGGTCAATGGGCGGACACAGTGCACAGTGCAAAGGCGTTGGTCCGGGGGGGAGGGGAGGAAGAGAGGAAGAGAAGGGGGGCCAAGGGCCCTTGGTGAGCAGGGGTGAAGCCGAGAAGCGGTGACAGGGGGCAGACGTCGTTTACCCCTGGCGCGAGGGGACGCTGTCGCTGTTCCTCCTCGTCTCGTCTGTGATGCGTGAGGTCAGGCCAGGCGTTTGGTCCCCTGCACGTCTCTCTCTGCACCCTTGTCGCGAACTAGCAGACGTGACGGGCTGTTCCACCGTATTTTTTTTTTCTTCTTCTTATTCTTCTCCTCCGGCGAGACGACGGCTTGGCATGACCGCTTCGTCATTGACAGAAGAGAAATTGAAGTAGTGCTGCGCGTGCATGACAATGTTTTTCTTTGTTGTACGTGCGCGCATTCTAGAAGCATTTCCGTGCGTTGAAGCGAGATTCTCTTCAAGTGCCGGTGCATGAACATCGGAGACGCCGCGGTCTCTCGCGCACGGAAGCAACACACGGAATGGCAATTTGGATAGACAGGCATTTTGGGGGAGGTAAAACAGCTCGCCGCTGCCGTGGGCCAAAGTACGTAGGTAGGTATTCATGTGTTTCAAAAGCCATGTCTTCGTCGACGGACCGCAGCGGACGGACGGACAATGGGACAATGGACGGGAGGGGGCATTCCTCAGCCGTTTCATTTCTCTCGTTGAGCCACTCGACTTGTACGAAAAGTACACGCTATACTGTCTCGAACTGTGCAAAAAACGCGTTTTATGTATGCGTGTGTGTGTGAGAGTGAGCACAACGCGGAGACGCAGCAGACGCGACGCCTCCACTATTAGGGGACCGATTCCTTCCTTTCTTCTTTCCTTATTAGTCGTCTTCGACAAAAATGCAAGACATGTCGAAACACACGCGACGCGTCTGATCCATTTCTTTTTTTTTCCTTCTCGTGGCGTTTGGACCCTCCGCCTCTCTTCTCGTGTCTGTCTCTGCACACCCCCCTCGCGTCAATGGGCGGGCACTCGGCGCTTGAAGCGGGGCGGCCCCAAACAGTCGCGTAGCAGCACGTACGTAGTGGCAGTATTTGGCACTTATGCAAGGTACGCGGGAGTACGTGCGTTGCGTCGCATCGCATCGCATCGTACTCGGCTTTATCGTCGACATCGAAACGTTGGGTCCCCTTTGGTAGGTACGAGCGTGCACGTACATACTACGTACATACGCAGCTACGAATTACTCATTCGGTAGATGCAAATGAAATAATACCACAGTATATAAAAAAAAGCACGCGAGAGACAAGATCGAAACGAGGAGAAAAGCAAAGACCGCGAAATAGAAACACAAGAGAACGGGAGAAACGAAGAAAAAGAAGCAAAGAAAAACCCGGGGGG